CATAAAAAATATAGTGGTTTTACTATAGATGTCGATCTGTTGCCCATTGATGTAGCTAGCCACTTAATCTTTATAAAAATACAGTTTTAATTCATGCCAATCAAATGTTTTTCCAAGCTGGAAAATAAAAATAAAATAAATGACTAGGGGCAAACACTCTGGCAACAGAATTAAATTAAACCAACCAGCAAAAATCAAATTGGGTTAAATCCAATTAATTTAAGCTGGTTTAACTAAGGCAGATGGCAGTTTCCCAGGAAGTATTCAAACAAGAGTAGCAGCAGGATTCCTGAGGTAAAATAGTTTATGTATATAATAAGTGAGAGTGAGTAGACTCTACTGAGGGCATTCCAATTTGTGTGTGGATTCCAAATGTTATACAAACAGAGATGAGGCTTCAAGAACCAGAAAACAAATTCTGCAGAAAATGTTAGCATATAGATTCCAGCAAAAACTGCTGCTGACCCTGGTAAATGAGCTCATAAACCACAACTGATCACAAGTCCTTTATTACAAAGGACAGTCCTTCATTTTACAATACCGTCTTTTAGATTTATTTTTTTCCAAAACTCATCTTTGTTCTTTATTTTGATCATTTAACTTTGGCCATCAAATGATACCATTTAATGCAGTCCTTCACATTCCTTTAAAAAATATGGAAACTGATTGTCTTTTTAAAATAAATCTACATATATAATTTAATTTTAGATATTTATATTATGCTTTTGTAGTTTTTCTTGGTTTTTCTCTTGCACGTTCTTTTGTAAAGCAAAATCGTAAATATAAACAATTAAAAAATTTAGGTTTATGAACTTCTTTTAGACTTTTTGAGGGGTTTGCTCTTTATGTTTTTTCCATGAAAATATGGCCAGTGCACATAACCCTCACTGTAAGATATCTAACAAATCAATAGGCTGAGGGAACAAGATGGCCATTGATTAAGTCCAATCTATATCTCCTCATTTGCCTATTAATTGATGTTTATATGACAACATAGAAGGTTATGCTAACTTTCCAAACAACTGCTAGCTCACTGGCTGGAAGATAGTTCATGAAAAGGCAGCAGTGTGTGTAGACAGGAAGGACAAGAAATTGCGGGTTGCATGAAATAATCTTCCTGGTAGGATGGGCCAAAAGGAAGAAAATGCCATAAAACCAGTTCTAGGTAGACTAAAACTACCACCTAATTCAGCCAGACAGTCAAAAATTGAGGAATTCCTTCTGTAAGTTAACCAGTCCCTATCTTCTAGAATAATGGGCTAGCCAGATCCATCTGGCTTGGGAAGTTACACAAAATGGTGTGGGAAGCCAGCAGAAAATTTGGGAAGAAAAATCTAATGTGAATGCGTGAATCAAGTGCCCCTCAAATGGGTAAAACAAGAATTATGTCTACTCCATGTACAGAGAGCCAGACAAATGCCCTTGGAGAAGCAATGTAGGGATGGTTACAATAGGTACACAAATACATTTTAAGCCTGGGAAACAAACAAAGAAGCAAACAATATTCAGAAGGAACTCAGACTGGTTCTGCTGTAGTTCATGGGATATACAGTAAGAGGGAGAGCAGGGAAAACAAAGGCAAGGTACTGTTAGTATAGCCTATAAATATAGTTCCAATCAAACCTGTAGTGTCAGTTTCCTAGCCTGTCTTACCTCAAAGGGTTGACAACATGCTAGCCAGGGATAAGAAATGTAGTCGAATGCATTTGGAGGTCACACAATGGGGAAATTCTGTCTTTATAGTTCCCAGCAATGGACTGCTTCAGTCAAGGGACAGCAGCAAAATCTAAAGGTTTAGGCCAAGCAACTGATATGGGATTCAACTAAATCTTTCCTTGTACATTTTTCAGAGTCCATGTCCCATCCCATGTTTTATTTTATGACTGGATATGTATAGCATCCATTTTATAAATTCATCCTTCCAATTCCAAGTATCTCCACCATCGATTAAAAAAAGAAAGAAAACATCTATTAGCAGATCTATTTGGAACTAAAACCAAGGAAAAAATACAAGTCTGCAAGAGGGTTTGTCTTGTGCAGTCATCTAGTAAGATGATATTCAAATGAAAAGAGAGAACAGTTTGCCAGTTTCATATATTATGTTCTCTCGTTTCTGAATGATTTTATTGTGTTATTTGGCAAATATCCTAAATTTTCATTTGGAAGCCTCAACGCTCCTTTTTAAAGATCCATTATAAACTTGTGTTGCAAGGAATTTAAAAATAACCCTTTGCTGTAGGGCAAAAAATATCTTGCTTTTTCTCTAATTGAAACATCAAGTTAATACCTCAGGGCACCAGTGAATGTTATTCAAATTTCTTGTAATAGAATTTGGGGATAAAATATTAGAAGCCCTGGATGTAGGAAGGACTGGTGACCATATTCTGAAGTAAGCAATGTAAGATACAATATTTTCTGAAATGGCTTAGATTTGTTATTAATTTTCAAAGGTATACTTTGGGGATATTTGCTCTAGAACAGAGATTCTCAATTTTTTCTTTACATGGACCCCCTTGAAATACCTTTCCTGGCTATGGACCCCCAAGACTTAACTCAAGATTTAAATCATATAATTTCTTCAAGCCTTTGTAGACACCATGTGGTCTGCAGATCAAGGTTGAGAACCACTGCTCTAGAGCATCTTCTGTTCCCAAATTGTCTGCATTTTGCATATTATAAGCATTTTGTTTCAAATCAGTAGACATAGTCAGCCCATCCAACCAAAATCAGGATGGCAAATTAATTCTTTGAAACAAACCATCTCCTATAATTTAAAACAACAGGAGAAACCTTTTTGTAAAATAGGCAGGCATGGAAACTACCAGCTGTTTAGAACTTCTAAAAGTGTTCTGCCTATGATATCACCCATTCCAGAACCAAATAAGCATTTCCAAGCAAGAGTGTCTATTGAAGAGGACAAACAAGGGATTTTTACAGGTAGTCCTCAACTTACAACCATTTGTTCAATGACCATTCAAAGTTACAATAGCACTGAAAAAAAAGACTTATGAGAATTTTTCATACTTACAACCATAACAGCATCCTTAATCATGTGATCAAAATTCACACATTTGGCATGTATTTATGTCCCAAGGTCATATGATCCCCTTTTGCGACTTTCTAACAAGCAAAATCAATGGGGAAGCCAGATTCACTTTAACAACCCTGATATTAACTTAACAACTGCAGTGATTCACTAAACAACTGTAGCAAGAAAGATCATCAAATGGGACAACACTCACTTAACAACTGTCTTGCTTAGCCAGGGAAATTTTGGGCTTAATCATGGTTGTAAGATGAAGACTATCTATACTTAACCTGTATCAGATGACGGATACAGGTACAGAATTATGGTATTTTGGGTGATGTTCAGGGGTAGGATCCGACAGGGTTAACTACCAGTTCAGTCATTTATGAGGTTTGGTGATTTACGATGTGCTTCCCTGCACGCTGCTGGATGCGTGCCTGTAAATCGTCATCAGCATGCTTCGTGCAGAGAATCAGCTGTTCAAAAAGCCCTTTTTTCCTGCTTTTTAACTGCAGCTATGTCTCCCGCAGCAGCTGAAGTTGAAAAAATCAGGAAATAAAAGTCAGGTAAAAGCCTAGGTGAGCGTGTGGGCAAAAACTTCAGAGCTACCGGTTCTATAGAAGTGGACAGAACCAGTAGAAACCCATCCCGGTGATATTTTTACATACATCTTTCAAAGCCTGTCATGGCAGTCTGCTATGGATGCTGCTGTTTTCAAGTCAAAACGAGTTTGCAAGCTTAAGATTCCAGAAACAGGCAGGTAGTTTGAAAAGGATTGTTGCTTGTAGCATATACAACTCCTGTAAATAGGTTGTGTAGGGTTTGCATAACTTCCAAACTCTGCCAAACCCATTTGGCCTGAAGTGACAATAGGACAAAAGTGACTCCACTGATAATGGAAAGCAACACTTCTCAGAGCCACCTTCTACTGTATTTTCAAACCTATTACCTATTTTCAGCCTAAATACCCCCAAAATGCATTAGTTCCACATTATGCTTCAGGGCAAAAATGCCTGTGTGCAAGCATCTAGCTCTCTCAAATCAGATTAAATACCAGAATGGCAGGACAAAGAAGCAGACTGAAAGATGAGTTTTTACACATAAATATTTCTTGCCAATCCTTTCTTTGAAAAAAAGGATGTAGAAATGAAATTTCTCCTAAAGGTTTTGTATGTCCTTGTTTTGCCTGATAATTGCCATGGCTGATATAGAGAAGTAATATGGGGTTTGATCCTAGCAAACCAGCATTTCCCTCCTGGTTTACAAGTGGACTGCAAAAAGACAAAAAGAAAGCAACGCTCTACCATTAAGTTATTAATGCCACAGGAGGCTTGAATTGGCACATGTGCTTCAAGAACGAGTTAGGACATGCTTCTAAAATCACTGGAGGGCTCAGCTTAGCGACTGTATCATTAGCAGCGAACAGCTGCAAAATGAAATTCTTGTGACTTGGAGTTTGCCAGGCAGTGAGGAAGTGGAGGGTAGGGAAAATGTAAGCAATCAGAAGCGGAAACAAATTGATGTCGAATATGATTCTCTTTTCTTATCCCCCCTCCTTTCTTTTATCTTTCTTCTATTCTAAAAAGAGCTCTCAAAAAGGCTGTGTATAAAATTCTCACTCTGCATTTAAATTTAAACAAGAGTGAATTCTCCAATGTGGAAAATCAGATTTTTAAAAAAATCAATGTATTTGCTTGCTGCACTATATTTTTATTAGCTATGGTTAACCCTATAGTGTAATGAGGTGAGTGATTAGTGCTCATTTCCAAATTTCATCATTTATAAATTCGTCTTTAGAGATATGAAAAACAGTCCATTTCAGAAAAATGAAAATCCTGCATTTTGGGGAAAACTGAATGCACATCCAACATCACCTGCAAAGTCTACAGCAGATCCAGGCTGCCTGTCATTGTAAAAAAACAAAAAAGCCTCAGACCGCTGTTATAAATATATTATATGTATTTCTCATTACCTTCTCAGGGACTAAGGGTGTGGAAGACAGTATGAGATTTGTGGGTGATTCTGAATGCTTCTTGTGCTTCTGTTTAGGCCTTTCTTTGTCTTTTCGACTCTGTAAAAGAAGATAAAAAACACAGCTAAAGTTTTGCCTTTTCTAGGAACAGGTGAAAAAAACACAAGTAAGGGAAAGCTGATACAGGCAGAAGGATGTGTATCTAAGAAGTAGTTTTTCTTCTTTGCCCTTTATTACAAGTCTTGTCTTCACTCTAGAGCATTTGCCAAAAGAAAAAACACTTCCCCCTTCCAGCAAAGTCTGCCTTACTGTCAGAAAACCCAAAGGCACATTAGGTCCAAAAAAGATGAGCAAGAGACCACTGTTCACATCCCTTTACCACCTGAGGGATTACAATTGTGACTTTTTTTTTTAGCCTTAATTAAATTATACCAAAAATTTCCTTTTGCAATTTGCAAAAAATCAGATAATACTCTTAAACCTGCTAAGGATCCAGCAAATTAATTGGTTAAACTACTTGGTAAAGATGCTTGTCCATGCCAATCTGTGTGAAAGAGCTAATTCTTCTTGTAAGACTTTAGGATATTTCCATAAGGTATGGACAAATTACATTTGTGAGGCAGCCAATTTAATCTTAGATTGTCTACTACTGACCTCACCTGTTTCCTAAGAGGTCTGTAGTGGGCGTGCATAAGCACACCAATGTGCCTACCATCCCTGTCCTATTGTTTTTTATTTTTCTTATATGTATCCATGTATTCATAACTATGTTTTTACTTATACTTATTATCTTGTAAGCAATTGACAAACCAAATAAATAAATAAATAAATTGCCTTTGGGGATCAGTAATTATTTTTTATTTTTTATTATTTTTCCAAGACTTAGTTTTTCTTCTAACTGTGCCCTGGTTAAAAGAAAGATTTGCTGCTGTGAATTTCAATTTCTATAATACATCAATTCCTTGATGATTCATTGCTAATTTTTATTTTTGGAAAATGCTCAGTAGTAGAACTTATGTCATACATTAAGAAAGAACAGATAGCAGATTATGTTGAAACCCTATGCCTAAGAGTTTAATATTTAGTCACTGTTCAATCATGAAACTACATTTTTGCACTGATAGATGACTTGAAAATGATCTGATTGGACAAAATATACCCTTTTTGGTCCCCTTGGATTTTCCAGGAGCATTCAACATGACCATCAGTCATGTTATTCTTCTTCTAGGCCACATTCAGGGGAAGGAAGTTCAGTCTGTTTTCTGCTCTTTTTCAGAGTGGAAGATAGAGGAAGGTGAGAGTATGGCTGGTCTCTGCTGGACAGTGCAACAGCATTCTTTTCTATCTTCTCTTCTATTTAACATTTAAAAGAGGCTGTAGAAGCAGTCCTTTGTTACTCTGAGATGATATTTATTTCCACATTGGGACAGAACAATGCTGTGGCTGGGGAATCATGACCCAATATCTAGGAGCTGTAAACAGAAGCTAGCTGGCTGTTTCTCTGCTCCTCTAGTGTCTCTTGATGGAATCACATTGCCACTGAAAGAGCAAGTCCATGCCACCGAGGTTGCAATAGACTTATAGTTATTGCTGGACAGTTCAATGGAAGTTTTGTGCTCTTTTCTGGAGGAAGAAGCTTTGACAATAGAGACCTAGGCTACCTCTTAGTCTGTTCCACCTGGACCTACTTCTGAAAGCTTACTCCTGAGGTAATGATGTTTGCTTTAGAGATGAAATATGATATTTTTAGAACAAGTTGTGATTCCCCTCCCACTAAATAGTCACCTGTTGAATGCCTTCCTCTAACCTCCCATGATGGTTCCTGTTATCCCAGCTTATTTTAGCTTCTACTTTCACTTTAGGCACACAGACAGATTTCAAAACAAAGCATATATTACAGCTCTTACTGTTTTTCTTTTTTAATAATGCTTTTGTGCATATGTGATGAATAGAGATATACAGGAAATAAATGGATGTTGGAAGCTGACATTTCCTTTGCAGAATCAAAAATATATATAAAAGGAATAAACAGAAACCAGGGCAAAAGCCTGGCAGGTACCAAAGAGGTGCTGTGGTTCCACAGATTATTGAATCCAAGAAAAATTAAAAAGGGGAAAAACGCACAGTTATTTTATAAACAATATAGTCACATATCTGGTTCCCCGTATTTCCAGGTAACCATACACAGTTCAAACCTATGCACTGAATTGTTACCACATTTAGTAGACATTGGTCCCAAAAAATATTCATAAATCTGCAACATCAAATTAGATTTGTTTATATCAACAAAATAAAAGCCATTTTTACGTTAATGTTCTTCATTTATAATTCATATTAACATAAAAATCCTGGCTTCACTGTCTTTTTGCTACTTTGGGGTTTTCAGCTTAGCTTTAAAAGGCACATGTCAATATTGGTTCTAATGTCCTTTTAAACTCATAGCTTAACATAGAGCAATTATCATAGATATACTATACATACATACATACATAGGACATATGAACTAGCTTTCTAGGGGGCATGGCCTGTCAGAGCAGAGGAAATGGGGGCAGGATAACATTAAGGATATCATTGCTGTATATCATTATTATATACATGGCTCACATCTATAAACTTCTTGCCAATATTAAATTCTCTTTAAATGCCAAATAGAGCATGAAAGGTGAAGTCATGTAAACTAAGAATCACGAACAGACATGCTTAAAGTATATATTTCTTCTCTGTAGGTACAAAAGCACTCATGGACCTGTCCCTTTGAATGTTAGTGGCAGTATCTTAGAATCAAACTAAAAAATTTCACTCAGCCCTTCTGATATATCCAGAAGTATTCCCCACCTCACATTTTCCCTTTTGGCTCTTAAATACCTGTTTTCCCTTCCTTGAGAACTTCCACTACCCTTTGGTATACATTGCAGACACCCAGGGACCCATACAAACTTGTTTCCGTATCTGCCTGCTTTTTGCTAAACTTCTCTCCCTCCCCACCCTCATAACACATATTGTCAATAGTTAGAAAATCTGAGAGAAGGAAGGGGTGCTGCCATGCTTTGTGTGTCTAAATAAAAGGCCACCCCTACCTTCCCGACGCTTCACACTCCTTTGCAGCAGAAATTGCCTTGGGAATGCCTGGATTTGCAAATCGCATTGGGGCTGCCAAGTTCATCTCACTGCCCAAAGTTCACCAACAAGAAGTCTCTCTCTTTCTGTCTCAGTCTCTCTCTTTTTTTTAAAACACTCAGTGCTGGGAGTTTCAAGCAGCTGGGGGTTGGGTGGCATTGGAGCAAGCAGAGAAAAAGGCCGATAGTTAAATGAGAAGGAGGAAAAAAAAAAAGGAAAGCAAAGACGGGGAGGAGGAAAGGGAGCTCTCATCTGAGCACAGGAAGGCGGTGCCCACATTGCACATACTAACTTGTAGATCTCCAACGTCAGGGTGAGTGAAATAGGAGCTCTTCAGATGCCAGTGAGGGCTTACCCCCACCTTCCGTCCCCAAACTCTTCCTGTAAGTCTGGGCACCGAAGGAAAAGCAGACAGCGCTGGGCAATCAGATATGTTGGTGTGCCCTGCTTGATGGGCTGCCCTTCCTCTTCTGCAAACAAGGACAAGCCTTTATCTGAATGCAGGCTCCCTCACCCTCAGCTTTGGTGAAACATGATAGCCTACCCAGGAAAAACATGTGTCGAGGGGTGGGTGAAGGTTGTGCAAGGAGGGGGGGCAAACTGAGCACCTCTGAATCACACTGCATGACAGAGAAAATTTTAACTAAGATACAATGCTGGAATATTGTTTTGGAACCCAAGGACTTTAATTAAGGTTCAATGCTAAATATTATTTCGGAACACAAATGTTAAAGATGGTAGAAGCTCTTAGTATGTGCAAAAATATTTCTCCTTTTTTTAAACCCTCCATCACACTATCTGAAATTAAACTTTCAATTCTGCTCAGTCACAACCATAAAACAGTTTTCTTGGCACACATATAAGGGATCCTAAAGAAAAGGGCCTCTGACTTTTTGCAAACCTTACAACAACCTTATATAGTAGGCCTTTTAGGTCTAGGAAAGTGAGTGTTGCCTTAGACCAGGGGAGTCAAACTTGCGGGCCACAGGCCAGATAAATCACACACAGACCACGCCCACTCGAGCTCCACAAAGGGGAAAAACGTCACAATACGTCACATGACAGTAATGTGATACTGCGAGTTTGACACCTATGTGACACCTTAGACCAGCCAGGAGTTCACAGTGTAGATGATACCTGAACAAAGAACTTCCAAACTTAAGAGGTTTATTTTCTTGTTCAGGGTGCTATACCAATAATTTGGTTCAAAACAGATGGATTGTCATACCCTATGCATTGGACCCATTGGTTATTTAACTTAGTTATCCTGAGGTCTGTGCAAAATAAATAAAATTATTCACAGCATATATTTCATTGAAGCCAATGTGTAGCCTTGTTAGTTACTGGATCCAACTGTAATGCAATACAAAGAATGGGCAATCAGCTTTAAATTGCCATTTGAAATTTGAGGCTCTTCCTCTGGATTCTTCCTGGTCTTTAAGATCCATAGGAGGGAGCTGCTTAGTTTCTTTAACCACATTGGTGTGAATATTTTTCTGTGTCTGCTCCAGGTCACGGACTAGAAGCTAGGCTAATTCATTTTCTCTATTATCTATTCATTTATTATCTATTCATTTTCTCTTTATTCATTTCTCTAGATAAAATTTTGTTTTATTAAGGCAAAGTTTTGATGGACAGACTGGTGTAGTTGCTCAGTTGTGTGGGTACAATTTTGCCATTGATTCCTTCGTGGGGTTGAGAGAAGGGGACAGACCCAGAAACAGCAAGCTGATTTTGTGCCTAAGGCAAGATAAAAACTCAAGTCTCTCTGGTTTTAGCCTGGTGCTAACCATTACACCAAATTGGCTTTCAGGGAGATATATAGTTTTTGATAAAATACACACACAAACACTATGTGATCTCAGCGAAATAGGAAATGCATGAGTAGAGGATCCAATGAAGATGGCTCACGTGATCACTAAATAAAATAAATGCTTTTAAAATTAAAATCCTGGCACAACATTTTCTGAACAAATTGGAAA